GCTGAGTTGTTAGATACAGTCAGTCAAGAACTAAGGGATCTGAGAGTGGTGACGTGATGGATTGATTGTGGGATCCATAGTTCGTAGTTCGCACCTAGGCAGGCTGTTTTCAGGGCAGGAATTAAACAGCAATCTTAAAAAGTCCCGGATGCTGCTTCAAGACATGGCATGACCGGGATAGGATAGGATAGAATACCTAGGTAGGAGGAGTTCTCCCCAATCACTGGCAATCAGTTCCAATGCACTTGGGTGGGCGCTGAGCTGGTGCTGAGGAGAGCAGAGTGCATATGAGGTGTTGTCTCCCCTGCACTGGCACCGCGTCTAGTCCCATCATGACGCCCGTTCAACCTAGAGAGAGACAGAGAGAGGAAATCCCATCCCTGTGGTATTGTGGTTATCATTTACGGAGTAGGAAAATATAAGCTGCTAATCCGTACTATGCTTATACTCCGTAAAATAATAATAGGCATGAAATGGCCGAGACAGCGCTGGACGGTCACGCTGTGTAATCAGGCGTCCTGGGTGGTCACTGAGCCACACGCCAAGAGCAGCGCCAGCCAACCACACGGGTCAACAGGGTGGTATTGATACCGGCTTTCGTCCGCGGTACGAGTATTTACCGCTAGACCCGTTCTGGCCGCTGCAACCCGCTCCCGACTCCCTCCCCCAGCGCTCTTCTTCATCTCTTTTCTTGTCTCCCTCTCCCCGTTTTCCTACCTCCCTCTCTTCCCTCCCTCGTTTTCGAGATTCAACTTCGATTCTCAGCAGAAGTGCGTTCTATCGCCCTTCCTGTGCACCTTGCCTCTCCTTTGTCTCTCTCCTTAATTCGCCCTTCCCATAATCCTGCTGTCGTCCTTGTTCGACCCAGATCCTTCGGCTCTACCTCCCCTCCTTCTTTCCCTCCCGCCGCCAACCACACAACAAGCGGGCATATATCACCAAACAAGGGGCTTATCCGATTTAAGCTTCTGTGCTCTCTTTTATTCCGTCCTACTAGAAGGGTGTTGAGTTTGATCGAGTCGAGGCGCCATCCGCTTTAGGGGCGTGTTGGTCCTGTTACCCAGCCTCGGGAGAGCCCTCCGCTGCTGCTTACAGCTACTACAGCGTACTGCTACTACCACTACTACTGCTACAACTATCACTGCTCCTACGAAGACCTATTATTGACGAGACTGTGTAAGCAATATATGTCCCCTTGAATAATTATAATTCTTCTTATTCTGGGCGTGTGGTTTCCGAAATTTTCTGTCCAATTTCATTTTTTGGCCTAGTAGACTAACGCCTGCTACTGACCCTCAGCACCCATGCCAAGCCCGTCACGGCGGTCTAGCGCCCATTAACGTCCACCTCTCCGCAGCCGCCCTTTCAACAATCCCCAACCCAACCTTTCCCACCGCCATATTGTCTTCACACACAACCCCTTCTCGATTTGTGCCCCAAGGCCCTGTCGGTCGTCACAGCAAGTCGTGATGACCTCTTCGTCAAATGTCGTCGGTGTCCACTACCGTGTGGGCAAAAAAATCGGCGAGGGCTCGTTCGGTGTGATCTTCGAAGGCACCAACCTGCTGAACAGCCAACAGGTTGCTATCAAGTTTGTATGTGAGATTTTTTTTTTTTTTTTTTTTTTTTTTTTTTTTTTTTTTTTTTTTTGATTGAACTATTATCATTATACTCGCCATTGTTTTGTGGGATGCAATATTCAACCGAAGCATGTGCTAATGAATTTTGGTTGCAGGAACCTCGGAAAAGCGATGCTCCACAGCTTCGAGATGAGTATAGAACGTACAAAGTCCTTGTTGGGTGCCGTAAGTGGATCAAAATTGAATACACAGTTTCGGAAATGGCCGTCTTTTACTGATTCTATCTATCACCTGAATAGCTGGCATACCTAATGTCTACTACTTTGGCCAGGAGGGCCTTCACAATATCCTTGTTATCGACCTCCTAGGACCGAGCTTAGAGGATCTCTTCGATCACTGCAATCGAAGGTTTTCGATAAAGACAGTGGTTATGGTGGCCAAACAAATGGTACGTACTGCATTACTTTACCACTGAGGCGTCTACTGACTCTTCCCGTCTCGTTTAGCTTTCAAGGGTGCAGACGATACACGAAAAGAACTTGATCTATAGAGACATAAAACCAGACAACTTCCTCATTGGTAGACCAAATTCCAAAGCGGCAAACGTCATCCACGTTGTTGATTTCGGAATGGCGAAGCAATATAGAGACCCCAAGACCAAGCAACATATTCCTTACCGGGAACGCAAGTCACTCTCGGGTACTGCAAGATACATGAGTATCAACACCCATCTCGGCCGAGAGCAGTCACGACGTGATGATCTTGAAGCCCTAGGCCATGTTTTCATGTACTTCCTAAGGGGTGGTTTGCCGTGGCAGGGCCTAAAAGCCGCTACCAACAAACAAAAATACGAAAAGATTGGCGAGAAGAAACAGACTACCGCAGTGAAAGATCTGTGTGATGGATACCCTGGTACGTAATATATATATACCATCTTAACATTGTGTTCTTTGGTGGGAAGTGGCCAATGCTGACAACAGCTTCAACAGAGGAATTTAATAAATATTTGACCTACGTCCGAAATCTGGGATTCGAAGATACCCCTGATTATGATTACCTGCGCGACCTCTTCACCCAGGCATTGAAGAACACCGGAGAGGTAGAAGACGGCGAGTATGACTGGATGAAATTAAATGGCGGAAGGGGCTGGGAAGCAGCCAAGCAGTATCCTCCCCAACATCACCTCCATGCGACCAACGCTCCAAACACATCAGCCCGTGACCTTCATGGAGTACCAGCGCCTAGGGGCCCACATAGACCAGGTGTAACAGCTGACCGTTTAAACGCCGCGCAACCCCCGCCCCCATCTCCCGCGAAACAGGGAGTGGGGAAAGCGCGCGAGCGGCAAAGCGCCTCCGGCGGGCCGCAAGTCAAACGTCAAAACGGAGTGGCGGGGGGTCTTGAGACAACACCGGCTGCGTCGACTCAGGCTCAATTTCAACACTCCAATGCCCATCTCCCGGGCCGCATTCCCACTCCCGGTACCCATGGCATGAATACTCAGCACTCGACACAAATGCGACCCGCGCAAGACCCGGAACCAACCTTTGTACAGAAGGTCATGAAAGCTTTATGCTGTGGTATGTTTAAACCGTCTACCCTACTTCCTTTTGTGTTTATTATTAACTCGTTCATAGGTTGAAATGCACACACCACATAACATCGACATCCGCTGCCCTCGGGCTCCTCTACCTCAACCTTGCCCGCGGTCTCATTTAATTAATCTCACCCCTTCCATTTCTAGCCGATGGAGTCATTTTAAATGCCATTGGTATTCCACCTGTCTGTATCTACAGCTTTTCTCGGCTCCTGCTGGATTGATTAATTGCATAGCTACGCCCACTTACGACAATGGGCCACGATGGAGTTTTTTCATTTCGTTTGTACTAATTTTTCAATCCTCATTTTTCCTTTTTCCTCTTTTTCCCTTTTAAACTCTGCTACAACCACACTCTTATATTTTCCACGTTAAGCTCTTTGATCGATTGATTTCCGGAGTTTCGTATCAAATATCATTTTTTCTTTCTCTTTTTTGGTTCTTAATATAATTTTTGTCCGCTTTTGCTCTCCTAGCTATCTGACCCTCCTTCGGCTCTCTCAAAATGTCTACCCTCTCCTGTTCCTGCGTGTTTACGGCCCTCCCTTGTCCTAACCACGTACACAATTCCGTCCTCACTAAGCGAACGCGAAATGTCTCCTTTTGTGAAATCCCCCAAAACCGACTTTTTTGCAACCATATTTTTACTTTTTTTTCCTGCTTAATAATAGATCTGTGTTCTTTCTCCCATTTCCATACCACAATCCTGTTTTCCCACCGGTCTTTGGCCGCGGCAATTCGCTCTGCTCTTCTACTGGAGGCGTTATGTTTCATGCTCTGCAACGCGCCAGCATCAACGAACTCTGTCGGGTTTATAGGATGCAGGCATTTTGCTGCTACCTCTACCATCTATACCTATGTGTCGATTATAGGGACCATGGGTAATTGTCAGTTAGACCAAGCCGAATCCAAATCCCCCCTCCCCTTACTGCCAGCTTATCTCGAACGAAGAATAGTTAGTTCATTTGGAGAAGCTCACCAATTACCACCACAACCAAACAAACATCCTTCCCGGTCGTCGATTTTTGCTTAAACACGAGAACACGTTTTCCTTTGTATATATATATGAACGTGAACAATAGGGAGGGGGCCAAAGCTCTGGACTGGCTAGCTGACTTGATGGGTTTCATTTAACATCACCATCATCGTGAAGTGCCGTTGATGGGAATAACTGTTGTGTGGAAGTGGAAATATTATCACTTTCCTTTCCCTTTCCTTTCCTCGTCGGAAGTTTTTCTTTTTGGTTTTTTTCCCCATTGTCTCCTTTATCTCCTATGCTGTTATTCAATTATATTTTCCCCCCTTGTTTCATCTTCCGAGTCTTCTTGTCTCCAATTCCCTCCCGTCTCGCTGTTTCTTTACCTGCCGTTCTTCGTTTGCATTTTTCCCCCATTTCTCCGTTATTATATTATTTGCTTTTAGTTTAGGTGCTATGGTCGAGTTTCCATTTCCATTCCTAGTGTCGGGTTTTTTTTTTTTTTTTTTTTTTTTTTTTTTTTTTTTTTTTTTCTTTTGCCCCCCCCAAGAGAGAGAGAGCTACAGCTGACATGAGGAGTACACATTCACACATTCACACACATCTAAAAAAAGATTTGCTGTGCAGCAAAGAAGAATTGAAAGATGGGAGGAGAAGAACTCTTGAAGAAGTATAGTATAAAGTATAATAGGGTAAAGAAATCTAATTATCATATTAATATTTTCTTTTAGTGACTTGAGTAAATAGGAAATAAAAAATATCTACACATATCATAATCACTTCTTGTTGGTTTAGTTTTTTTATTTCTTCTATTTCTATTTTTTATTATGTTCATCCGCCCCATGGATTTCAATGTGCTATTTATTATTCTACTACTTACCATCTTGGTATCCCAACCAGTCGACCGACCTCTAGGAGGGGAGAGAGGAACTACATTAACTGTCTTCTATTTTTGGTCATTTACATTTTCCTTTACCTTTTTTTTCCCCCTTTCCCCCCCGTTGGCCCACGAATCCCGATATGTTTTTGCCAAGATGGAGAAGGTATGGTGTGCTTGGGCCTGTTTTGGCTCCAAAAGCCACGTCGCGCTAAAAGTCTGATCCTCTCCTTTGTCTCCTTTTTCGAGGGATTTTGCGGCTCTCAGGGGGAGATGAGCACTTGGATGGAAACCTGCCAGCCATGAACAACCCCCCCTCTCTGCCCTCGATGACTTCCATCCTGGCGGGGGAAAAAATGAAAAACAAACACGGAGGTTCTCCAAAAATAACCCTAAGGTTAAAGTTTGGCCGGGCGGGACGGTCCTGACGCTTGAGGCTGAGGGAGCTCCTCTCCTGCAACCAGTTCGGCAAGGCTGGCCTCAACTTTCTCAGCGAAGCACCACAGAGCGCTCTCGGTGTCTCCGCCTTACACCCTTGGCTTGGCCAATTGCTGCACGAGGAATCTTGTCCAGCAGAGGTGTGCTTGCTCAGAGCTGGGGGCCAGAAAAGAAATACGCTAGATAGCGGCGCTTCGTTTCCCCCTCCTTCAGCAGTAGCTTGGGAAGATGACCATGAAAAAGGAGATGGGGGGGTGGGGGCTGCATCGAGCTGCTGGAAGGGGTTGTTTCTAAGTTTTTTTTTTTTTTTTTTTTTTTTTTTTTTAATTTTAATTTTTATATACGGGTCTCTCCCTCACTCCCAGCGTCGGGATGGGAGGTGAATGCGTTCCGCTAACCAAAAAGCCATTCTTATCTCTACCTATGTGTCTGTCAAGTCTAGTCCTGCCTACTCCGTACTCCGTGCTGAGCCTCCGTTTACTGGCCTCGACCAATCTCGATGGCTACAACCATCACGCCAGGATCTAGTTCCCCTGGCGAAACTTCCGAGCCCGTTCACAATCAACGTGGGCCAGGGTGGAAAGACGGCCCCGTTGTTTCGGAGACGGACATACTCCTTGACGCGAGTACCGAACACAAGAACGATAGCAGCGATGGGGTGGGAGAATCTAAAGAGTCTCCGTCTGGGTACCCTCTCCAAAGATACTGGCGAAGGTCTCTCCTGCTAGTGATTGTGCCACTAGGAATCACGGCCTACTTCTGCTTGATAGAGTGGTTTTTAATATCAAAAAATGCGGCATCCAATCGATATGGTCACCGCAATGCTCTCTGGGTCTACTATTCGTGGTTTATTCTCGGTGTCTTTGGCCTGGGTATCTCCAAGTACGGACTGGCTGGCGTTGAGGCTACCATGCTTCAGGACCGGCATTGGCAGGTCAAGGATGCCATGGTCCTTCTCGTGCATAGTGGGCAGTCCTGGTCCGGCTTTTCGGGATGGATGGAATGCTTACAGATGTCAATTCGCCAGAGGAGAAGTGTCGTGCAACGGTTATGGTACCTGCTGAGTTTCATAAGCCTCATGGTGACAATCGCACTGCCAATTTCGGGTCTGAGCATGGAACTGTTTGATGGATTTGTTCGGACAGACAATCCTGCGAAGGTAATTGGGTACACAATGGAGAACTTTGACATCCGGGGCCCAGGCCAGGTATACCGGCGTGGTCGTCCCCTCCTACAAGCCAGCGCTCCTCCAACCCTGCCAGGGGCTGGAGTGATCTACACCCCACGATACCTGGATCGCAGCGAATACTCTTATCTGGAGACTTTGCCTAACACCCTCCCAGTCAACGAATTTGCTCCGGAGCTTTTCCTTGCCCCTCAAGGACAGTATCCAGTTCGTGGAAGTGCGTGGGGGCTCCGATTAGGGTACAATTGCTCTGTGGTAGAGTCTGCGTCTGATTTTGCCCTTGTGGGCAGGAATTCTAGTAGAGTGTTGGCGTATAGTTCAGATACTTTCAATCTGTTATCATACCTGGAGACTGCCACAGCGTGGAACACAACCAGGGAGCACCACGAAGATCCCCAGAATACTAATATTTTCGAATATGCCATGTGGCAGGTACGGTACAAAGCTACCTACGAGGAAAGTGCTCCAATCAATTTCAATAACACGATCACTTCACCAGTTTCGGGATTGGGCAGCCCGTTGGTTAAAGCAGAGAACGGGACCTATCAGTGTAACAATGCTTTCTTTGACGCGAGACCACGCGGATCAAAGAACCCAATAGAACATTTCGACATACATGGTAACAATATTAGCGATGTCATCGAACAAGCCCCCCCAGTCGGCGTCCGATGCAGTTTTTTCTCCGAAGCGGGCACTGCCGTCCTCGATCCGGCTTATTCTTCCTTCCACTCCTTCGTCCCCGTTCCCGCCGTACCCAACAATGGCACAGCAAGTCTTTACAGTTCCAATCCCTTCGGTACCGAAGTGTCGAACCTGCTAGTTACCCTTGTCCCCGATGGCGAGATATACGACCAGCTATTTAAATCCACGAACTCACCTCCACCGGAATCATACTCCAACGACTCTCGCTATACATACTTCCTCCAAGCGCAGAAGATACTGGAGGCTGTCATTCGTGCATTTAGTGTTGAAGCCTTGCAGCTGATGTACGATGGCCTGCAGAATCTTGACGGGGCATACGAGCATGAAACCCTGAAGGCTTCGAAACCGGGCAAGATTCTTGGTCCTAGTACTGTCCCAGCTCTCATCCCCATTGTCCTTTTCTGCATTTGGGCTTTGGGTTGTCTGGTGCTTGGTGTCACATATGGGTTTAGGCGGCGCTGGGCAGAGACACTGGATGGATACAGTTTCTTCCGGTTTGGCGCGGACCGCGTGGAGGATATTCGTGGACGCCCTGACCTCGTCGGTTGTAATAAAGACTTGGATGAAAGTGAGGGGTTGAAGGAAATCCCTGGGCTGATTGGTGATTCGCTCCCCGGCGAGCAGGTGGGACATATTGGGCTGGTTACGAGGAGAAACGTGGCGGATAGGAGCAAGTTATACATGTGATGCTTATTTTTATGTTATGGGAATGGGATGATTTAATGTAACTAATTCGACGAAATAAAATATTAATTATTCTTTTTGTGGATTCAAGATGTTCGCACCTCTTTTGTCTCTTGTAATATACAGCTTCGCTGCTCGGAATGACAGCTACTGCGCTCATAACTCGACGGTGGAAGTAGAGAAGATAATGCAAGGATAACTTCATAAAGTGACGAAATTAATTTACTTTTAGCTCTCGCTTGGCTGATATACATACGTACAGGGATTATTCACTGATAACCGTCCAAAACTTCCCGCGACGATGCGCCCAAGAAGAGTGCTATGAATACTTTCTTCGACCACATTCCTTTCCCCGAATATTAATACATTCATTTCTTTCTTTTTCAAAGAGCGAAGGTCAAGCACCCCTTTCTTCCTTTCGGAATAACTACATCCAACCCAATCAGACCCACAATCACCTACCTCTACAACTCCGCGACGCTGATATCAACAAAGCCAACAGGCCGATTCGCGCTGACGGCAGGGACCCCGACCATATAGTGCCTATCGACGTCCGAGGCACTGATATAATTGCTACCGCCGCCAAAGGGGCTGGACCAATTGATGGTGCAGATTTTCTGCAGGGTGTCTTTATCGATCAGGTCGACGGAACCCTGCGTGCCGGCTGGCGCACCTTGTCTGCCGCAGCTGTATATATCGCCCGAGCCGGACTCGGGGATCACGATCTCGTCGACTTGGTCGGGCGTGATTTCTTCGTCCTTGTTGTCGTTGGTGTAGAATTTCCCGCTGTATGGTGCGAGAAGGGGGAAATGGGGAAGAGCCATTGAGTTAGCTCGGTTCGACGCATATCTTGCTCCCTCTAGCTTCCTCTGGGGAGGGGGTTCTATATATATATACGGCTTTTCCCTTCAAGCGATTGTATTGTGCTGCAAGGAAATGTAGGATATTACATACTGCAACAGCTGAGAATTCTGAACTGCGAGTGGCCCTTCAAGACCGTTTGTTAAATGCAAGTTAATCCAGTTGGCATACCCCATTGTGGCGAGGAGTTTTGAAATATATGAATGAAATTAAGTGTGTTTTTTCCTATTAGATACAGTGTCTGGGTGTAGTTATGAATGAGGAGACTCGTGCAAAAGCCTGCCGGAGTGCTTGATGTCGAAGCTGTTGTAATGGAATATTGGCCTTGTCCTTACTGATCCTCAAAAAGAAGCCAAATAAGAAACATCATTATTACTTTGAAATTTCATCAAGCTTTCAGCATAAAGGGAGTAGATAGCTTCTGAGTTTCCGCAACAATCCGTGGAATAACTACCTAATGTAGCTTGGCTAGATAAACCTAAACAGGTAGATACCTACCCAGGTATCCAGACCATTCGAACAAAAGCTTGAATGCCCGTTCGGCCATGAGGCGATAGTCAATCGAACAACGGGTGTGGAATAGATGCGGAGGGGCGCCGAAACCTATATATAGTAGTCAGAAAAAAGATAGCCAACTTCGGCAATGGCGAAATATGGAATTCCAACGTTTAAAATCTTAATGATTCCATTCATTCATTCCACGCAAAACGATTTGGAGGAATAACAGACGGGTTCAAGCCCGCATCACACGGCTTATCAAAAAAAGTTTTTCTGCGAGGGACGTTTTGCAATCAGTAAGCTTGCTGAACTGAAGGTACTATGCAGGATCTAATCTGAACGTCTCAAAGGACAACAGAAACGAAGCCAGAGTGACTTGCTGGAACAAACCTCGCACTCTTGCATATTACTGAGCTTCCTAGGTATATGTTGCATGCATTCTTTCTTATATTAGCTAGAAATAGGCAACATGAGCTCCAGGCGGGTTCAAACCATCGACTGACCAAAACCACAGGAAGTGCTATCAGATATCAGCTGAGCGAGCAGCACGCAATTGCAGGAGCAGGATTGCAACTCTGCAGTACACACAAAAATCCCACCGTAGCGGCCAAAGTTCGATGTTTATAAGGTTTTATTTCTGCCTTATATATTCCGCGGAGGTCCACCGACCCATCGTTATGTTTGATGGAGCAAATTCCTGTTCCTATCTGTCTCCTGTAGTTACGGTCTAGAGCACTAGAACATCCTCTCCCAACGCTCCCTGATGCGCAAAGAGTTTCCGCAGCTGTGGCTGTGGTTTTGCGATTGATGGGAACACTGAGCTATAGCCGTTGGGCTTCATGCCTATCCTTCCGGCCTCTAAAGGATAGTAGCAAGCGGATGGGGGTTCCGCCTCAAGGAAGGGATGAGGGCCTCTGTGTCTTGCTATCAAGCGTCATGTACTCGCCTCCTGGCACACTGATGAGGATTGAATATTCTCCTAATATCCCGTTCCTTTGGTGGCGTATGTCAATTCAAATGCTTTACAACTGTTAGCTTCATCACAGGTGTTTAAGCATACACAGCCCGTCGAAAGACTGAGCAAAAGGCGTGCCCGAATAGGGGGTAGGAAAGGGTAGACCACGCACTTGGGCATCAACTACTCTCCCACAACGGGCGGAGTCGTTGTCAATACTATATATATATATACCTGTGCGTGAAGTGTCAGGGCGACTATCAATCTGATATCCAGGTGGTCCACAGGAAAGTTGTTATGTTGGAGACGAACTTTGAGGTTGCATCGTTGCTCTTCGAAGCCAAACGGGCTTTTCCAGCAGCTGAGGAGTTTTTAGGAGAGCTGTGGCAACCTCTCTTGGCTCGTGGACTGCAGCGAGGACTTCAAAAGTAGGAAACAACTCATGCTGGCCAAGCTGTATTGTTAGATTAAATATCTCATCCTTCGTCTCATCACTAATTATAATTAGTCCCCACGGATGGTAAGTTTATCCAACCTATCAGCGCGGGGCGTCTCCACCTGACGTTTAAGCATATTTTAACCACTCAAAGTGTTCAGGGCATAGGCTGGAAAAAAGCAATGAACAGGAATCACCTCAAGTTAGAGACGAACTCGCAGTTTTTATAAATTGAGTCGAGTGTGATAGTTATTACTAAATCGGAGAGAGCTTTCGCCTGCCCTAGCACACAGGCTTATCATATATTGACTTCATTTCGGCCTGAAGTTGAACTGACAGATATTGTGAAAGACTATCCAAGACCTTTCGCGCCACTAATTTACGCTGCTTGGTGCGTTCTGATTGATGCTGATGAAGCCTCATATGAAACAATGTTTGTTGCTAGTAGGTGCAAGATTCACAAGATCCATCTTTCGGCTGCTTTTGCGTCTTCTCCCGATGATGGGTCTAATGTTGGGTATTTGACAGAGGTACGACAATGTACTTATCCTATAGGCATCCTACAGGATAATGGAATTGGGGTAGTAGAGCACACATTGGGGACAGACATAACGAAGCATCCCAAATCAATGGATGGGGGAAAGAAATGTTTGCTGTGAACGTAGGAAGGCCTCTGCCATTTCTTCCTGAAAAGGGTTTGATGAGCTTGATTGTACATGTACATGGACATGTACATGATGAGACACCAGTCAGTTCCTCATACTGAAGAACTTCATCGAACTATTCTGCACTCAATACATGTTTTCCAAGAGCCATTGAAGTTTATACTGCCTATATTCTCACGATATAATGTGTCATTGGGATTCTGCCAGGTATCGGAGGTTCTATATATGCCTCATATTAGGATTTCAGGTTCCCTCGGATGCATCGGACGCCTATCCAGGATACGGCAGAAGGTGGTTATCATTGTGATGGAAACTTCAATGGGTAACATTGTTCCAGGAGATATGAAGGGATTAAGATATGACTTCTGCTATGAGTTCATCAACCTTTGAGGTTACTCTGCTTTAATAAGCTAATATAAATGGTAATGCATAATGTGATAATTCTCATGCACATTCTCTGTGAGCTATAAACTAGAATGGTATTTATTAGTTAAGTGAATATTGAAAGAATACATTTATGTGATGGATATATACATCAGTTAGTTTCCTGTTAACATGACAGTGACAAAGGCAGAAGTGGTTGCTCTCAATGACATGAGTGCAAAATGATTGATTTCAAAAATATGACTATATTTCATTAGCACTTCAATTTCTTCTCTGAGTGAAACAATGACTTGCATGCCTTCAACATCAGGGATGCCTTCTAACAGTGCCTGCTACCCTGATGAGGAGACAATATAATCTTATACTCATGCTCATGTCTTCATGGATCAAAAGTCAAACCTGTGCCTGTTAGTGCTCTAAGCTGACTCTGTGCAAAGTTTTTCCTTGCAGAGCAAGCAAATAGCTTGCTAACAAAGATAGATAGACATATAGATTCACATACATCACATCACTCAAGAGTACCATGATCATACCTGCACAGGCCTGTATATAACTCAAGCAGCATTCATGGCATCTCTCTCTCTCTCTCTCTCTCTCTCTCTCTCTTTCTGTCTCTCTCAATAAAATTTGCCGCCACCTCTTTTAGTAAGAGATATAATCAAATATCCCGATTCTTGTTCCCGGTTCCATGTTTTTGATTCTCATGTCAGTGATGAGGAGACATGAATGAAAACCAAATTGAAAGGGAAAATGCCCCCTCTCTTTGAATTTGTAAGTTCAACACCAGCAGAATCCCTGACAAATAGGGAAATAATGAACAAAAGGTTCCCGGTATCGGTGCGCCTATTTCCCCATCCACCCTTCCCCAAAGGCAACAAAGCCACAATCCAAGGGCGGGAAAGGATCGCGGCAAGCAAAAGTGCCTCCGTAGATGGACATGTATGTACATGTATGTATGTACATAGACCGAGAACCCCGTTTGTCCGGACACGCATATAAATGTACATGTATGTACATGTACCTTCACCTCAACACGTGCCTGACAGAAATCCACCAAGACCATGTGAACCTTTTGATTTCAACAAGATGAAATTAATTCATTCTTCGACCTTATCAACATCGCGGCTCTGCAGCCATTGCACTAGAGGCACAAAAAAAGCTGTGCCAATTTGCCTCCCCTCCCTGCTTAGTTGTTCATCTTACAGAGAACTGTACTCTGTACTGTGAGAGAACCCAATCAAAGCACTGTCTCTTGCACATAGGCTTTTCCCATAGTAATCTGGGCAAAGGACAACTTCCACCTTTCAGGGTTGAACCGGCTCATTTTATTCCCCTCTGATGACATGAGTCATGAAGAAGCCTGTGCTGTGCTGTTCTGTATTTGCAGCTGGATGGAGATATGAAGCTGGCATCAAAGTTTTGTGAAAGTTTTTTCATTTTTGAGTCGGCTGTTTTTTACTCCTCCTGAACTGTTCTTGGGGGGCGGGATTCCTTTGTATTAGTTATGCATGTCTAATCAATATCAACTGGGCCCGGAAGAAGAGCGAGATAGTAGAATTTGCACAGAGTGGGTGAACGGGGATGAGGGCAAACTTTTCGACAAAAAGAAAAAAAAAATAATAATAAAAATAAAAATCAAAATAACCATAAAAACCTTGAAGGAAACAGGAAAGAAAAGAAGAGACTTTTTTTTCTTTTTTTCTTTCCATATTTTCCCCATTCCTCTTCTGCTCAAATCATCAACTTATTCATTCTCGCCATAGCTGATATCAGTGACAAGGAAATGTGCCACCTGGGAAAAACAGAAAAAAAAAAGCAAAATACAAAGTTAAAATATTGAAATACAGTGAACGGCAATTGATATGATTTAGAAAGAGCCTGACAGACGGGTGTTTACAGACTTGTTCTAATAATCTTCGCATGTTTGATCTCCATTCATTCTAGCACGTATTTCTTCGGAGACTTCAACTCCAAGCGTGTCACGATCCTTCCAGAAGGGTTCTAGAAACACGGGGCGTGAGTGGAAAGTCTCACAACAGGGGAACCTTGGTGGAAGTTACATCAGCCTTGGGGAGTGTGTAATTATTTGTGTTCTGGAAGAAAGCGTTGGTTGATGATGACTTATTGTTGTATCATATTTTCTTTATAATTTTATTTTTTGTTTTCATTTTGACTGGGTTCTGGAATACATTGCGTGGTTAGAGTTGCAAGTTACATTTTTATCTCAACAGATTGAGAACTGGGAGAAGGGAAACATTGAACGGTAGTTTAATGAACTAGCACAGAAGCTAGATGGGAAGAGCTTCTGGAATATCTAGCAGTATGTATCGTACGTATGGTGTGTATGTATCTGTATCGTGTACGGTATTTCATAATAAGAGTGACATGTATGGAAGGATGTAACCACACTGTATCATATCTGTATGCATGTATGCGCTTGACAGCAATCTATCTCATCTCATAGGGGAGTGATATGGCGATTCCAAGGAATATTCATATATCAGTCGCGGAAAAGAGTGAGTAGAGAGAACCATTTGGAATACTGTCTACTCTCATATTTATATGTTATTGCAAATAGAAGCGCATATTTACGCTTGACAGTATTAGCAACATAGTACAACTCATACAAGGCTGTGACCACTGAGATGATGCATGTAGGAAATCTATGTCTCATCTCAGTTGATTCAGAGTGAGTATTATTCTTCTCATGTTGCTGAGTCTGCCTGCATGCTTTCTAAGACAAGCTTTAGAAATATTTGAGAGAAATGAGAGTTTTCATTTTCTCATTTCTTTACTCCATACTTTCTTCTTGTGGCGGGCTGCGCCCGATAAATCATATAGACTATTTACACTCCATAGATTCCTGCCGAAAGCTCCGATTCTCGGTCATTCTCAATCACCGATTCTCAGCTGAAAAACCCACAGAATTCCTATTCTTCCGCCCCGAAGCTTCACTGTATACACATATAAATATTCACACTGATCACTGATTCCTGCACTTTCTCTTTTTTTTTTCTTCTCTAATGTTTTTCACTTTTGTTATATAAGATCTATATATTATACTGATCTATTCAGTGTAGACCTCTTATACTTGGAAAATATTCATCATCTTCTTATTAGAAATGATTACTCACTGTGGCGGGCTGCGCCCGATCATCATATAGACTATTCCTTTACACTCCATAGATTCCGCTGAAAGCTCCGATTCTCGGTCATTCTCAATCACCGATTCTCAGCTGAAAAACCCACAGAATTCCTATTCTTCCGCTCCAAAGCTCCACCGCGTACACACTGTGTACACATATAAATATTCATCTCAATTGCTGATTCTCATATCTTCTCTTTCTTTTTCTTCTTTAACATTTTTTACTTTGTTATATAAGACCTATATATTATACTGATCTATTCAGTGTAGGTCTCTTACACTTGAAAAACATTCATTATCTTCTTATTAGAAATGATTATTTATCAGAAAGATATTCAAACATGTAATAATATATAAGAAAGAGAAACAATCAGTTAAAGCAGACACTGAGTTCTCAGATAGAAGCTTACTCATTAGTTACTCTGACTATGTAATAAAATCTTATAAGAGAATATTAGTAAAAGATCTGAGAGTTCTAACATCTCAGATATATGAGATATTCATATGATTATACTTCTTCAGATTTCACAGATATTATATATTTAATAAATGATATAATCATGTCTAACAATAATATAAGAGAACTCTTAAATATAAATATAAAAGTAATATCACAGTGACTCTGAGTAATGTTAAAATTATAACAGTAACAGATAGCTGATATATATATAACTAGACTGGCCGCCGGGACCATGAATTTCACATTTGGTCCCATTTGGTCTGGTCCCATACATTTCTTGGCGTGAATCCCGCTGGGACTGGCTATTAAAAAAACAGGTAAAGTGACTATATATCAGATCTTAAAATGAAACCATGACTTGAAAAAAATGAGAAAGTGGTCCCATTTGGTCCCATTTAGTCCCATTCTTAGCATAAAGTTACTATTTTTAGACATTTTAAGGTTTTTTTTAGACTATTTTTAATTTTTTAAAAAGTAACACTTTTTGGTAACGCTCAAATGAGATTTAAAGTCATTTAAAGCAATAAAAATAATTTAAATTGAGAAGTGGAAATCATGGTCCCATTTGGAAAATGTGACAAGAGTAGACAGTAAGTCCCACTGAGACAGTATGGGACTACTATCTAATGTTAAAACCGTGTAATGGGATCAGTCGAATTGGTAATGAGACTATCAAAAAATCTGGTCCTGGTCCCAGACACAGTCACACGGTCAGTCTATATATAACTTAACAACTTCAATATGAGAAAATTCAATAATTAACTTAATAGAGAACTCATGCAACTTCAGCATCTACAGAATTGAATATAAAAGCACTGAAAAGAATGCTTAGATACTCTTATATATTTCAATACTTTTAATCTCACTCTCTACTCATTATGAAGAATGAAAATGCTTATAAAACTGAGTATAGATGAAGATATCATCAGTTCATTAATTAATCAAGATTAATATATTAATGAATAATTGAAGAATTATATGAAACAGAAGTTTCATTCATGCATAAAAGTATATGAATCAGTATTGTGAATATCTGACAATATCATTAAATATCTTAATATTCTGTTTCAAGACACTGCCATATAACAGAAAGTATTAGATTAATTATAGAGTGTCTGACAGAGAAACACTTCTCTTATAACATTCATTTCTGACTTTGACACTCAGATCTTAGAAGCAGATAATCAATCTTATGAGTTATAAAAACAATCTCAGCGCTTCACCACGAACTCGCTCAATTTTTCAAATAAAAACCCGCTGATAGATTCATTGAAAAGCTCTCAATCATACAAGCATTTTAACCCCATCGCCAACCGCATACCCAGTGTGATGGTGAAGTTATTCAGTTAAACATGAACCAGACATTGTTTAAAACTTCTGTGTGGGATTATTCTCTGTTCACTTCTATCACACTACAACTCTGGGCCAAATTGCCATACAAATTATAAGGTGAAGAGACCTAGTCATATACATCAATCTTCTTGATTTTGAAAGATTCTCAATCTGTAATTATGAAGATATCTGAGAAGCAACTTCTATGAAAACTCTGTCTATCTTTGATGTTTTAAAACATCAATACT